ACGGAGACGTAACATTGTTTTCAGTCTTGGGCTCCTTACCTTAGGAAAAACATTGAATTGTTGGAAAGGGTTCAGAGAAGGGTTACTAGAATGGTGGCTGGGATGGAGGGGTTGTCGTAGGAGGAGAGGTTGAAATCTCTCAAATTGTTTTCTCTTGAAAAAAGTAGAATTGGGGGAGGGAATGATCTGACTGATGTATTTAAATTAGTAAAGAGAATTGATAGTGTTGATGCATAATATTTTTTTCATACTTAATCGTGAGAATAGTAGGAGTAGGGGACAAAAATATAAGTTTTGGCGGATTAAGATTCATCTTCAGCTAAGAAAGTTTTATTTTTCTAACAGGATGGTTGGCCTTTGGAATAGGTTGCTTCGAACGTTGTGGAGGCAGTAAATTAGTGAGTTGAAGAGAAAGCTTGATAAGGGCTGGCTTTAAAATGTTTAAAAATGTATTTATTAATAGTTTTAGTTTAGTTTAGAGGATGGAACAGCCGAGATAGACCAATAGGTCTTATGTTGTCCCAAAACATTATTTTGTGCAAATGTTTAAGCAAATTCTCGTTATTAAGCAACTCACGCACTCATCACGTGACACGAAAACTCTGTTACGTCTCCGTTTGTTAATTGATTTTCCGTAACTTCGTTCCGACGAAACTTTAGCGACACAAGTCCTTACTTAATAAAACTGGTTTATTCTTTCTGAATATAACTTTACCGATACACTTATTTTCAACAGTCGTTCTTTTACAAACGTTTTAACAACGAACGTTAACTTCAACAATACTTCCTGACTGCAGTTCAATTACTCACTACCTACACACACATTGTCACGTCACGCCGTGACCATCTTATATATACCAGACCACCCCCCAATCTAGTAAATGCTAGAGCACTCCCGAAGGAACGGGATAGTTCTAGAAAGCAGGTGGCGTGACAATAGCCACGTGATCTCGTTGACGCAACAAATCTTAGACAATCAGCAGTAGCTTCTAAATTAAAAAATATAGCCTGCAACAAAATTCTGTATATAAGTCTTTTTGTTATGCAAATTTAAACTGTTTCTTTTTCCTAATTACTTTTAATGATACACGATAAAGTATCTATTTTATTCAGGTCTAACCTGGTTTATTACAATTAATACGCGGTATGTGCTGTTTAGAACAGAGCTAGCGGAATGAGTATATAATTGTGCGTAAGTTAGTAAAAAACAAAACACAAAATCACATTCATAATAGTCATTGGACTCGATTCCTTACACCAGTTTATTGTTAATTTTTCAAACTATTAACATGGCTAGTTTTTAAATTTTATTTTCGGTTCTTTATATGAACTTCTTTTTTTTTTTGTTGGTTAAAACAAAGCCAGCATTATCGATCAAACGAAGTATTATTGAAGATTCTCATATTATTCCATCATGAACACTGTAAATATATATAATGTTTACTTGTATGGAAGCACATTACGCTAGAATACTAGTAAATTGACAAAGAATGACTTAAAAGCATAATAAAGTGGTTTATTTTGGGGAATATAGTACATGCTTCAACATATATTGGTCTTTTTCAGGAATGTTTTCCAAAAATAAACCATTTCATTACGATTATAAATCGTTATTTATCAATTTACTATTATGTATAACATTATAATTCCGAAACTGATAGTTGTGTTATTCATAATTTACTTATGCGTGATTATTTCACGGTAAACGAGTTATCTTTTATAAGCCTTATTTTGTTTAAATTTCCGTGAAGCAAGAAGTTTACACCCTTGTTATTTTTAAGAAAGGTGACTAACGTTAGAAGGTAACTTCCGGGTCTTTACCCTCAGACATTGAGGTCTACTGATGTGTGTTGTACAATTATTTGACGTGGCACGATTTGATGTGTTTGTATCAGTGTATGATATTTTGTTACGCTTCAGGCTAAGCATCGATAAGACAAAAAAATTTTGCAAGAGTATTTTTTTTTCATTTTTAGAATAAGGATACAATAAGTAGGTAACCTCAATTAGGTTGAAGCTTAGGGGCAATTGGGCTGAGGTTACATTTACAAGTTACACGTTGTACCGTGTCAGTGACAGAGCAAGCCTCTGGAGATAGAGCTTACAGTTAGTCAGATGTTATAATTTCTTTTATGTTATATTACAGGGTAAACCATTCCTTAATAATAACAAAGCCGAATGAACAGCATATGTGATGAGGTACAGTTGAAACTTTTGTATGTTCGGAAAGAGAAGGCCATATCTTAAAGTTTTTAAAAAGCCCGACTTAACGGTCAGTAATTAACCTCTTACTTAGTCTTACCTTGTCACTGACAGTAATATGTATTTAAAAGTCGTTATTCTCGTGAGTAAATATCAGCTGCATATAGCCTAATGTTAGAAGAATGGTAGACACCGTGAATATGTTCGTAAAGCTAAACTTGAATTTGTACAAAGTCACTGACAGATTGTCCTATTTCTGTTTGTTTCATTAATTGTGGCTTTGTTGGTCAGAGAAGGATGTTGTAAAAGTCTTTAGAGATTGAGATCTTTATTTAAGCAATAAAAATGCACGGAGATCCAGGTATATTGTGTTTCCAACATTGCAAAAGAGAAGCAAAAATTTTTTGTTTTAAACTGCCTAAAACATGCCGCTTATGCGGTGGTGATCTTGAAACATCAGAGTTGAGAATACCGCCATTTCGCGTCCCTTATCCATTTATTTCTGCCAAAAATGTACCATGCTGTGTTGTGATTAAGCCAACAACAGGAAACTTCTTATGGTAAGTAGAGAACAAAAAATAGGATTAACATTTCTAACTGTTAAATCTCTGCACTAATACTTTTTTATGATAATCCTGTGTGATAATCTACTACAATATTACTATTAAATTCAGTTAGTGTGTTGTACTGTTGTAGTAGAACTAGAAGTAGTGTCCTTTATATTACTATTATTATATATTTATTGCTTGTGATCAGCCTGCCTACTTTCAGAGTGCAAACTAAATGCATGTAAAATGTAATAGCTATTGTTGTAGTATAATAAATATATTGTATAACTAACTATGTGTTGGTAAACTCCTTTTATGTACAGATATTAAGAGCTTAATTTAAAGATTTTGCAAGAGCTTACTTGATTAACTATCTGATTTAGTTCAGACGTGTTTCTGTTTATTATCAAAGCCTCTCGAATCCTCAGTTCTCTTTCATTATTGGCTTTCCCAATGACCTTGAACTCTCCTTTTTTTTAAATTGCCACTTGACCAGGAGCTGAAGAGCATGATGTGTAATATTAATGCTCAGTTATACACTCATAGAGACATTGTATGGCTGATCCAGCGTAATGACTTCTACTTTTATGCACTCGTAGAGACATCATACAGCTAATCCAGCATAAAGACTTCCACTTTTATACTCTTGTAGACATCATACAGCTGATCCAGCATAATGACTTCCACTTTTATCTGTTGTGAATTGGGCAGCTGAATTATTTGAAGACACTGATCAGATGGGGCAAATTTATAAATATTCAATGTAAACATAAAGAAAAGGGTAGCTGCAAGTAAAAAAAAAACCAGGTTGGCTCACAAAGAGTTTAAGAAATAAAACTAAAGAAAAGCATAATAAATTAAAAAAAATTAAATTGACCTGTATGACAGGAGACTTAGGAGATTATAGAAGATCAAGAAAATTGGTGAAACAGGAAATTAGGACATCAAAAAGGATGTATGAGAAAAAGTTGGCTGAAAATGAATTTTATTGGATAGTCAACATGGTTTCACTAAGGGAAAATCTTGCCTTACAAATCTTTTGACATTTTTTGAAAAGGTTACTGCTTATGTAAATGAGGGTAAGGGTGTAGATTTGAAATATCTGGATTTTCAGAAAGCATTTAAAAAGGTGCCACATAAAAGGCTTGTATAACAATTATCTCTATAGGTGTGGGGGATATAAGTTAGCAAATTGGTTAGAAGAGTGGCTGGATGGAAGAAAACAGAGAGTTGTTACAAATGGAGTTCAGTCAAACTGGATTAATGTCACAAGTGGGGTACCTCAGGGCTCAGTCTTAGGACCTTTGCTGTTTTTGATTTACATCAATGAAATAGATGAAGGAATGGTCAATAAATTACTTAAATTTGCTGATTATATTAAGATCTTGGATGTTGCTAGCTGTGAAGAGGATGCTTCTGATTTACAAAAGGATTTAGATCATTTAGTGAGTTGGACAAATAAATGGCAGATGGGTTTTAATTATAATAAAGGCAAGATAATGCATGTGGGTTATAATAACTGGAATTATAAGTATAATTTTGATGGGAATAACCTTAATAGTGTTATCAAGGAAAGGGATCTTGTGTAATAATCGATCAGTCTCTAAAGCCATCCAAGCAGTGTGCTGTTGCTAGGGCAAATAGGATCTTAGGTTGTATCTATAGAAATATTGAATACAAGTCTAAAGAGGTTATACTTTGATTGTACTGGTCACTGGTTTGGCCACATTTGAAATATTGTGTTCAGTCTTGGGCTCCTTACCTTAGGAAGGACAATGATTTGTTGGAAAGGGTTCAGAGAAGGGTTACTAGAATGGTGCTTGGGATGGAGAGGTTGTTATACGACAAGAGGCTGAAATCTCTCAAATTGTTTTCTCTTGTAAAAAGAAGAGTTAGGGGGGGAATCTGATTGAGATGTTTAAGATTGTAAAGGGAATTGATAGTATTGATGCATCATCTTTTTTATATTTAACAGTGAAAATAGTAGGAATTAGGGACACTAATATAATTTTTAGCAAGGTAGGAGTTATCTTCAGCTTAGCCAGTTTTATTTTGCTAACAGGGTGGTTGGTCTTTAGATGTTGTAGAGGTAGTAAATTTAAATGAATTTAAGAAAAAGCATGATAAGTATATGAATGATAAGGGCTGGCTCTAAGATTTTTTTATTATACTTTTTTAATCATTTTAATTTAGTTTTGAGGATGGAACAGCCGAGATGGACCAGTAAGTCCTACATTGTCCCAAAATATTATTTTATGTTATATTTGGAACAGTGGTGCTGGTAGATTATGATCAGGTGGTTGACTATTGTGATCTTTTGTTTTTTAAATCCCGTATTCTTTTCTTCTTGAGGGGTTAAAAATCAGTCTACTTTGTGGGTAAACTTTTAATTTAGTTGTTCAGTTGTTTCTTAATTTTCAGGCCATATAAACTAATGAATGGTAAAACAAAAAATTTTGTTTTTAATAATGTATAACTCTGTTCCTTAGGGGTGGAAGCTTCATTCAAAATCTCTTTATAAACTGTTTCCTGAATTACACGCGGAAAAACATTTTTGTTTAGAAATTGTATGGCATTGTTCACATTTGTTTACATAAGTTAATGATAGGCCCCATATATAAAAATGTTAATGAAATTTTCTTTCAGTTTATATAGGATAAAATGATTCCAATTATAATATTTACCATTAAAAGTAAGTTTCTGATAAACCCCTGTATTAAAGTAATCCATATATTTATTTTTAACAACAGTATCTAAAAAAAATGCTTCATGTGTGTAAGGTATTATATCAGATTGCCTCTTTGTGTACATAAAAAAATCATTCAAATGTTATACATGTTCTTACAATATGTGGCCAAGTAGTGACTAAAGAAAGATTGTTGGGAGAGCCAGTAGTGAAAGAGACTTTGATAATAAACAGAAACAAGTCTGAAGTAAATCATATGGTTAATGCAGATAATCATCTGCTGGAGTTAATGCGAGTGTACTACACTGGACTTTTAGTCTTTTATTACAGGTTATAAGAAATTTGTTTGATAGTCATGGAGGTAGACTTAATCATGAAACTTGGGACGTAACTTTATATATGTGGTAGCTATTCTGTCATTTGGAATATTCACTAACTTGCATTAGACAGAGTATTAGCTTATTTTAAGTTTGTCTTTAAAAATGGGATCAGAAAATGACATTATGTCAGTGTTTTCTTACTATTACACAAAAGTATTGAGACAGATATATAAAAAAATGTTTAAAGGGATACTGTTGAATATTACTTCAAGGCAGTGTAGTGTTGTCATTGTCCTGAGTATGACTGTGTAGTGTTGTTATTGTCCTGAGTTGATTGATTGTTGGAATAATCGGAAACACTAAATTTTATTAATCAGTTTGTTTATGTCACTAATCAGTATGGTTGCTGCTTATAGATAATTTATTATATTGATTAACCAGTTAGTGTGTGTAACTAATCAGTATGGTTGCTTCTTATAGATAATTTATTATATTGATTAACCAGTTAGTGTGTGTAACTAATCAGTATAGTTGCTGCTTATAGATAATTTATTATATTGATTAATCAGTTAGTATATGTAACTAATCAGTATAGTTGCTGCAATTATCTATAAGAAGCAACCATACTGATTAGTTACACACACTAACTGATTAATCAATATAATAAATTATCTATAAGCAGCAACTACATTGATTAGTTACATATACTAACTGATTAATCAATATAATCAATTATCTATAAGATTATATTGATTAACCAGTTAGTGTATGTAACTAATCATTATGGTTGCTGCTTATAGATAATTGATTATATTGATTAACCAGTTAGTGTGTGTAACTAATCATTATGGTTGCTTCTTATAGATAATTGATTATATTGATTAATCAGTTAGTATATGTAACTAATCAATGTAGTTGCTGCTTATAGATAATTGATTATATTGATTAACCAG